AATTTTGTAAAAAATAGCCAATAAAAGGCAATCACTGTTGAGCTTAGGTGGCGGTAATTCATTCACCTTATTGTCACACCTTGCGGTTTCCATGGTTGTCTTCATCCGGAGTCATTTCTCTTCGAGAGGAAGAAATAATATGACACAGAGATAGGAAGAATTTTGTAAATCGGAAACGGGTGAGGAGCAGTTTTTGCTTATGTGTGGTCTTGCCCCAAAATGCATTACTAGTAGACTCATTCAATTGAGATGGCCTACCTTCACCAATACTTGGTGTCGGTTGCCCTGGATCTTATCAGTTACGAACCATCTTTAGCTAGCGCTTCCGTCTACGAGTTGAGGTTTCAGAAACACTAAAACAATCGAGATTTCCGGTGCATTGACCCCCACAGAGGTACCACCCATATTCTGGCCTCTCTCCATTGAAAGAAAGATTAGGTAGGGTGGGGGGGGAGGGTGGAGGGATGGAGGTGAAGTGAAGTCCCATTAATCCTCTTCCCCCAAAGTAAGCACTTGTTGTTGAGTATGTATTTTTTCAAGGAGAGGACACACTTTGAGTAGCTTTAACAATAGGCAGGCAACGGAAAGTATTTACTTGACATACAAAATATGTAGAAGAATCCGACTTGTGTGGTTTAGGTTAAGAGGATGGAGTTTTACTATTTTTCAGGGAAATTGTTAATCTTTCAGGATGATGCTAATTTTAACTTAACATTATTAAATATTACTTACGAAATAAGTCAGTTAGTTGAAGGTTTCTAGCTACCAAAATAAACTAGAACTGTTTCTTCCGTTTATCTGCTTGCGAATTCTCAAAAATTATCTTAAGTCCATTCTCATTTGTAATAGATTGAGCAACTACTTCTCACCATCGATTAATTTTTAATTTTTTTTCGTAAAGAATGAGCGCAGATCTTGAGCATGAGCAGACAATATCTCGGTCATAAATGTCACCTCTTCAACTGGCAATATTAATTCTTCCTAATAAGAGGTTCTTAAACATCATCTGGAATCCCATTACCCAAAATTTGAGATAGAGCAAAACTATTAGGAGTAATTATCTGATCCAAGACACTCCCGATCAAATCTTTAAGCTTGAATGAGGTGGAATTCTTTAATGATGATAGACTTCAAACTATTAAACCAGAAATTAAAAAAATAATAAGGGGAAATGTGCTTGCCTGCTAAGTTGGAGCAGAGTTAGTTTTAGTATAATTCAGGGATGATAGTCGTAACCCACGTAGCACAAATACTTGAGTTAAAACCCTTGAGAACACCAACATATTGATAAATCACTAAGTTAGATGACTGATCCCGTAGTTCGGTAACATCGTGTTTCTTAAACCCTGGTCACCAGAATGGCGTATTTGGCGCTGTGACAGGTGGAGCAATTTCGCGTCAGCCCTGGAAAATGTAAAGTGTTAAGAGCATCGCAAAATAAATCTTCGAGGCTCTCGTGGCTAGTGGAAATGTGGATTTTATATGAACAGGAAGACGCGCCTACAAATTAAGGGTTGATATAGCACCATATCTCCTCAACAAACCACCCACCCCCCTCACCTGTATATTTCCACGCGGCAATGCCTTTGATGGCTACTGACCATGTGAAGTTTTATTGTTTGAATAGGAGCACGGACAACATGATTAACGATGGGAGCCAATCGGAAGACACGATAGGAGGCAGTGACAACTCTACCGCCTCATCACAACATCCTCCCCCTCCTCCACCACCACTTCCTTTGGATCTCTCTAAATCGGATAGCGGAGGGGTTAGACCTTATACTACTAATAGCACCATCAGCGACGACAGTATTACTAAGTGTGCCAAAGCCAGACCAACGGAAATGACACCTCTGTCGTCAGTAGAAAACCACTTCCGGTGGGAAGCCACTCCACTCTTTCGAGGCATTCCTACACCCACTGAATTAGGGAAAATCATAGCCCATAGATCACTTAGTCTAGCGGAACTAACTCGTCTTGCAAAGGCCCTTTTCCCAATGCCCGTTCAGGAATCCCTCTTAACTCCCTCTCCACCTCTATTCTCCACCTCTAAACGCTGTCACTCAGTTGTGAAACCTCCTCGACGAGTTTGTGAGAAGAAACAAGATCACTCCCGGTGTGATTCGCTTTCCATTTCCGCCAAGAGAAATGGGGAACGATTCCACTGCCAATACTGCGGGAAGATATTCCCTCGATCTGCAAATTTAACCAGACATATTAGAACCCATACGGGTGAACAACCCTACAAGTGCGCTTTCTGTCCTCGGTGCTTCAGTATCTCCTCTAATCTCCAGCGTCATATTCGAAACATCCATCAGAAAGAGCGGCCATTCCACTGCACCTTCTGCATGAAAAAATTCGGCCAACGGGCGAATCTCGAAAGGCACATTCGAAATCACTATCTCCTCGATTCCACATCTCGCCATTTATCTATTCTATAAATCAGTATCCATAGTACTACTTGCAGTTATTTTGTGAATATATGCATTTGTGTATTTCTATATTCGCTCATATACATTTGCCATTTTTTCTTCGCCTCCATAATATAGCACATCAGGTTGGGTGACTTTCATTAAACCCCCTACTCACCTTCCTTCTTCAGACACGCAATGGTTTTTTCTAAGTGGGTCATATTTATTTAACCGTTTGCGATGGTGTGAATCTAATAATCACCACCCCTTCGTCTCCACCCCTCATTAGGTGTTCGAACTGCTAGTTTTAAGTTAATGTTGGTGGGAGAGGGAGGGAGGGAGGGAGGGCGAGGGAATGGAAGTGCAGAAATGCAATGTCAGTTGGGTGTCAGATACTTAAATCAAAGTGGAAGGAGGCGAGGGGAATTTGGATTGCGTGCCCAAATCAACATGCATTAAAAATTGCGGTTTAATATAATCTTGAAGCAAAGGGGTATCTGAAGGGGGTGGCGGGGGGGGGGGTAGTAGAAGCTGAGAACTAATGGTTTGGCCAGTCTGATGTTGAAGGGAGTGAGACTGTTATCTCCCTCAATTCTTTCCCCTCACCCCATTTCCCCGCGCTTCAGCGTCCTCTGCAAATGCAAAAAGCATTAATTCAAAGCTGATGTGACTGTCGTAAAGATGGCGTAAGAAAATGCATTTAACAGCCTAAGTAAATGCTGCAATTACATTGCCAATTTTTTAGCGTTTCTCTTTATAATATTTAATCTAAAAAGAAAAATTTCTCTAGATAAAGTCAGTTATTCTTCGAAAGAAAAGCTAAGGAATAAATCCATTACTTGTTTAATCTGTTCAACACTTCAATTCCTGCTTGAGTGAATCTTTTCAATGAAATCAAATGAGACAAACGTCGAGTTGACAATTCCCCAATAAAGTAAGAATCATTAGTAGTTTACCCTCAAGAAATGTCATTACCATTATCGCTATTTCCGTCCAGTTAATTAATAATAAGTAAGTGGAAATGAAATGAAATGAACCATCGTTCAAAGCAATCAGCACTTCAGTAAACGCCGGATATCGTTGAGAAATTCATACTCATAGTTATTGCAAACTGATGTCGTGAAAGGTACAAGTAGTGGATGTGTGAGTGTATTCTGATCTTAAGATAATGAAATAAATCAACTCCTTATTCTCCATTTCTGCTCGATTCACTTTTTGATCATTCACAATTCTCATTGTTCAGATGACATCCACGATTGTGCTGATGAACTACTGACCTCTTTGTGGACATTTATAATAGGGAGTTTCATGCCTACGACCAATCATATGAGACTCAAATTGGCACAGAAGGCCTGCTATTTGGAAAGTATAAAGTCCTCGTATAAACCTTTAGCAAATTTAATGAAGTTTGGTTCTAAACAAATATAAGATTTAAGAAGGTTATTTTAATCTACTTCTTTCAACAAAGCACTTCCCCAATTTGATCTTGCCATTTTTTACTAATTCGCTAAATGTCGAAATAATGGACTGAGGTAACTTGGGTAATGATGATTAACACAAAAAAGAATAGGTGAATTGAATGGTCTTCTGGGCTCTCCATATTTAGAAGGCACAGGCAATGCAATGCATAGGCAAGAGGAGGAGATAGCCTCCTGCATCTACTTAGAATGCCTTGGATGACAGTACTCACTGTAACTTACCGTTAGAATACGTTTAACTCACTGCATTTCTGCTATTGTTCAATACATTCAAACTACCCCGTGAAATACCTGACGGTGGTGTCTAAGTTGCCCCTCATTCTTATCGGTATGTTGGTGTACTCTGCCTGTGACAACTACTATGGATAGAGTTTAAAAAGGTCAAGCTATAGGTTGACCTACAACTCGCAATTATGATATGTGACCTTTGTTCCAGTATAGATTGCAGGGAACATAATGGTACCAAGGCTGATCAATAATAATTACTCTTTTCAAATGCCAGGCTTTATGAAAGTTATCATTAGCCCTTTAGCTGACTTCGGGCTTCATAGAGGGGGGGGGGGGCGGACATCAAAGTCACAAAATGTCGAGGGGGGGGGGTGTTGAACAGATGAGTGGTTCACAGATGTAAAAGAGACAGACACAATGGTAGAGAAAAGGTGAGATGAGTACTGGGGTAGTGGTTGACTATGACATACAGTAGGGTCATGGTAGTTTGAAGTCAGAAGCCAACTGTCAGTTTATAGACTTTTTACCGTATGAGTGTACATTGCTCAGGGTGCACCACGTGGAGGTAAGTCTATCGCACACCCCCATATCAAAAATATACTTTGCCAGACATACAGTTTACGCGGATCACTCTTTGCTTTCTCACTAATTTGGCCACTGTCTTGCCAATCGTGTAGAGGAATTTAAGCTTCAGGACTTCGCTTGAGGTTCGTCGTATTTATATGGTTTAATCAGTCCTTTTTGTTTTAACGCTATTAAATATTCATACCGACTATTTGTTCTTAGGTTCTGGTGATCTAAAAATATATTTTAAATGAATTTAAAACAATACTATCTTGTATAATACCACCCAGGATAGCAAAGGGGCATCACTAACAAGTTATTTAATTATTTAATCAAACTATTTTCGGGTTTCACCTTGTTTTCAAAAAATTATTGATTTGCAATAAATTGGGGTACTTTATAATAATTTATCTTTAGCCCCTATTTTCAAAAATATTTTCATTGAACCCCTGATCATAACTATGCGAATTCTAAGTGATTATACTCCAATGTTAATGAAAATACTTTCTCTTTCTCTTTTATTTAATTAATAATTTAATAGTTTAATTAATATAGTTTAAAAATTGACAAAGATTATTTATAATCAAGTATTTACCAAAGTGGAAATTCAAAAGAATAATTTATTTTATTCTCCTAAAGCTTAATAGGCTTTGATTAGGAAAAGTAAGTTTATTTCAGGAAGTGAATTACATAAAAATGTTGCAATATTCACGATACCTCATAAATGTCAAAGAAAATTAATGTTGAAGACTAAAGTCAAGTGAAAGTTGCATTAACGTCTCTTTATGATGTTCCATTGGTTAAATGTGAGCGACTACCACCAGGCCTAATCGGCAAATTTGCAGATCTTACGACATCGGGCAATAGTGGATGAAATTGCCTTCAAGTCAACAGCAGAGTCCTCGGATGTGTCAAACCTTTCTTAGCCCTTTTATAAGTTCCTTATGGGGTGTGGGATAGACTTACCTCCTCGTGGTGCACCCTGGGCAACGTATAATCATACGGCAAAAAAGTCTATTAACTGGTTAAAAAGTTTATTAACCGACAGTTGACTTCTCACTTCAAACTACCATCACCCCACTGTATGTCATTTTCGGCCCCTATCACAGTACTCATCTTATCCTTTCTGAGCCTTGGTGTCTGTCTGTTTCTTTTACATCTGTGAATCACTCTTCTGTTCTCCCTCCCGAATTCTTCTCACTTTGATATTCCTCCCCTCATAATCGGATGTGTCCCTCTCTCTTAGCCTTTTTATAAGCTCCCTATTCACCTTAGAATTCTATGGACCCGAATGAAGATTCAAAAATCCACGGGTCCGTTATTGAACAATCGGTTTCCAAACATGGCAATCACCCAACGAACTATAAATACACACAAAACATAAAGACTGATGAAGTCTGAACTTTATAGAACGGGAAGATTTTTTTGTTTTGAAACCCAATAAAATTTATTAGAAATTTTCGCATAAGCGCATCACCCGTACCTTAATTATTGGATACAGAGCCGTTTAATTTTACTTTTATCCTAAATCAGACAATTTTATTTGAAGCGACGAACCTTCTAGCCCAAAACTTCTAAAAATTTTATCTGAGTTTAAATGACGTCATCCTAGTACCATTTTAAGTCATTCTAAACGGCTATTTTTATTGAAAACGTATGAATATGCCTAAACTGGACTTTCCACAAGCTGAAGATAGAGTATACTTGGGAACAAAAATGGAATTTGGAATAGCCATCTTTCTGAATTAAGAGATATTGTCATAGTGCTATTAGAATTGATATTTTCGCCCTTTTTATTAAACAATTTTAGCTTGGAAGTGCTGCATAAAGAATGATGAAACTAGTTTTCTTTGTGATTTAATTACAAAACTTCTTCCAACAGGTGGCATTAAGTTAAGAATTAATTGACAATTCGAGAATTTATTGACCATTGCTAATTGCATAACCTTCACGAGTTCTGCATCAATTGGGGTTAAGTAAAATTAATATATGCTTATGCTCAATTTAATAAGGTAGTGAATGTTATCATTTCTACACCTTCAAAACTACCCTACTTACAAATACAAGTAGTATGTTTGCATAATTAGTGAAAATATGTAAAGAGGACATCGTGTTACTTTCATAAATAACGTCCATATCCTGTTCATTTTTTTCTCATTTTAAATTTCGTGAGCCCATCGTACTCCCCATTTAAAGTATTGAAAATCACCAAGGGGTCCGGTTACTATTTCAGTTCAAAAGTTTTGCATTGAAAGATTTATATCAAATGGCAGGCGTCTTGTTGGTTACCATTAGCCCTTTAGTTGACTTCAGGCTTCATAAAGGGGGAGGGTGACATCAAATTGAAAAAAATCGAGAGGGGGGGGGGAACAGAAGAGTGTTTCAAAGATGTAAAAGAGTCAGACACAAAGGTAGAAAAAAGGTGAGGTGAGCTCTGTGGAAATAGTCGAATATGATATACAGTCGGGTCATGATATTTTGAAGTGAGAAGTCGACTGCCAGTGAATTGGCTTTTTTACCATATGAATATACATTGCCCAGGGTGCACCACGTGAAGGTAAGTCTATCGCACACCCCAATTTGAAAGATTGATCTAGTTAGGTGACCTCCCCACCGTACATCGCCTTGAAACAACACTGATTCATCCAGTCAATCTGTTTATACCTTTAATTGGTGAATGGCATTTTAACTAAAAGTTCTAAGTTGAACATGTTACTTAATTAACATAATTACACTTTGATATAATGAATGAATGTCAAA